TCCCAGCTGGTAATGTGTGCTAACATTTGCAGTAAACTACGCTTATTAAAAGAACTCTTCTATTTTTTATAAAGCGAGGGAAATTACTTGCTAAAAACTTACAAGACAATGACCGTTTTTAATGGTAGTTTCTATCTAAGTCAGCATTTTACAAATCGTCTGTTTTACCAGGCATATTGCTGTCAAGGTTAAACTAACTGTTTTTAAGGATAAACATGATTGATTGATTCTGTGTCATACAATACGATTGTTAAAAGCAACAGCAGAGTAAATGACAAAAACACTTTGAACAAAAACAAAAAAACAAATCGAAACCATTCACACAACATGACTTTCGCTGCTCAGTGAGAATCTCTAAAAACGGGAACATAAACAGGACAACACACACACTCTCACTCACATATTGTACCTCGTGTTCCCAGAGATGGACTGGAGTTTCGTCAAGCAGCCAAAAAACCTGACCATAAAGAGAGGAGAAAATGTTACGGTCACCTGCAGGCCACCGTACAGCAGACCTGCAGCTCAGGTGTCCTGGTTCAAAAACAACAAACTTTTTACTCCAACACACCATGTGACTGTGCTGCCCAGTGGAGACCTCTTCTTCCACAGGTGTGTGTATGTGAGTGTGTTTAAAGGCACGCTGTATGCTGTGTTTAGAAAATAATTTATTCAATTGGGAGTGTATGTGTTTTATTTTTGTGTGTATCCCTAGAAACAGGATCATTGAAGTGTTATCGAGAATAGTTGTGGTTTTATTTTTTCACTGCAGGGTATAATTTGCTGAATTTGATTTACACCTATAAAGTACTTCATGTTTAACATTTTAATCCGGGTTAAAATCTAAACATTAAACTGCATGCATGACATTAGTGGTCTGTAAATCCTTTATTATCTTATTTTGGGGGCCTGCACACAAAATTCAAGGTTTTCTACGACTGTGTGTGTCTTATCATTTTCTTCAGTGTCCAAGAGTACGACAGTGGGAGCTACTTCTGCAGGGCCTCAAACATTCAGCTTCAAAGATTTCTCACCTCAAGAAGAGCCACATTAACTGTGCTAAGTATGACTCTCCGCCAGACATACAATTCACTTTTGTTCCCATAGTCGCTTAAAATGTTGCCTTATCTGTTTTTTTTGTTTTTTTGTGTTGTTCTGTCTCGTCTTTTCCCGGCAGCCCCTCCATCAGTGAAAGTGTGGCCTCAGGTGTTATCCGTGCCTGTGGGTGCTCGGTGGTGCTGGAGTGTCAGGTGTCAGGTCACCCTCTCCCCTCCATCAGATGGGTGAAGAGAGGTCACTCCAAGGAGACTGGGGGTCGGATTTCTTTGGGGTAAGTTAATTTGTGATGACTTTCATTTATAAGAAAATATGTTTGACATCATTTTATTCCTTTTGACTCCTTCATTTGTATACTTTACATGTTTCACACACAGACTGAGAAATGCCACTCTTTACATCCAGTCAGCACGGAACTACGACGAGGGAGTGTATGTGTGTGAGGCCTCCAATTCACTGGGCCGAATCAGCAGCACATCAACACTGAGAGTCGCTGGTAATATTTCATAGTATACCTGCAAAGTAAAGTACAACCTGCTTCTTTAATCATTAGTTAAGGTCAAGGTCAAGTCTGAACCATCTCCATGGTAAAAATATGACTTTTTAGGCATAAAGTTAACCCCAAATGTCATGCAATCCCTGAGATAAGAGTTCTCATTGCTACCCAATAGGGTAACTGAAATGTCTTTGTTATCGCAATATGAGCACATGCAATAAACACAAATTAAAAGTCTAGTTGAAAAATAAACAGGAAAAATTATTCTTATTTAAAACAAACTGATTCTTTCTCACTTAGCATGTTTACATTTTACCCTTTTGTTGGAAGCCAGAGTATAATGGCCATGCTTTGATACAATTTTGACACTGTCATATGAAGCTCAAGCTACCCTCCAATTTAGGTGCCATTTCAGAGGTGAAAAACAAAAGAAAATGTAGATTAATTTTGGATTCAAGAGGGACATGTTTCAAACATGGGTATTGTGTAAAAGAGGAAGAACTGCAGTTACAGTAAACAAAAAAACAGAGTTAAATCTACATTGCACTCTTGAGTTTTTGGTTATTTATTGCACTTCCCATTGTTATCACAATATTAAACAGTGTTATCACAAATCGGGTATTTATTCTTATATCGAGTATGCCTACTGCTCAGTACAGTCTGTGTTCAGATGCAAAGTCTGAACACACAGTTATATCGGCTTCAGTTGGAATTCACCTCATGAAGCTACACTATGATATAGTCTCAGGAGCAGAAATAACTGCACAGCAATCCACTATTGCACCATCAATAGTCAGTAATCATATACTTAGATATAAGACACATAGCTTAAGAAATGTAAAGTGGGAACATAGGATCGTGCCTAAAATGATGAAGGTTTTGAACTATAAATGTAAAGCAGTGTTGAACATTTAAGATATTTACATCTGTTCAAGTTAAACACCTTCCTCCACAATATACAATACAAACTTTTGGACTTCAAAAACCTAAACAACAAAGTGCATTTCGTTGTTGGAAAAGCTTCCTATATGTAACTTAATTATTCTATTCTACAATTTGGTACTATTAATATACTGTTTTCTGTATTCTTGCACATAAAGTGTCTTTTATGCCTTTAATGCAGTCAGAGTATGACTGCACTTTCCTCTTTTCTCCTCCCAGTGAGTCCCATCATAGTGACCTTTGCAGCTCAAGTGAGCTGCAGGGTCGGTGCATCAGCGGTTCTGCCCTGCAGTGCTGTCGGGATCATGCCCATAACATATACCTGGACAAGGGGGGCAGGAAGACACATTTACCCATCAGCCCCACTAAAGATAGACACATTGGTGGTGAGTCCAAAATGTGATTGGAGGCATTTATTCACTCAATCTTTTCACCAGGTTCTTATTGTAAGTTGATGATGAATAGAATCCTTGGAAAAAGATAGAACGATAAATCGAACCTTCTACCAAAATCTAAACAAGGTTTTTGAAAATATTAAGCTTCTGTTTTTTGCATTGATATCTTGTGTCTCTTGTAGAAGATGGCGCTCTGCATTTTTCCAATGTGCAGTATTCTGATGCAGGGGAATATTACTGCACTGCTGAGAATCGAGCAGGACGACATCAGAGACGCTTTGTCCTTAGTGTCACAGGTACTTTAACACCTACTCATTTCTCCTATAAAGGCAGAGTGAAATAAAGATACCAGTATAGCGTGTGTAGTCATGGGCTGTTATGATTTGGGGTACAACACACTTGTTCACTCAAGTGTGTAAAGATATTACAAGATGCACAAGTTTCTTTTCTAGCTGACCCTTTGTCATACTGTTCTCTGTCCAAAGCTGAACATCGTCCGGCTGATAGAAGCAAGCAGGCAACACTGGTTTTGTCTGCTGTGAGTAATGAAGTTGTGAGATCTCTGCTCTGAGTTTTCTGTGGTGACCAACCAGTGTGCAGACTATATGTATTGTTTTTATGTGTGGATTGTGTTGAGCAGTTGTGAATCTGTTTGATTTTACTCTTTTCAGCTTTATGTGGTGACCTTTCATTCTCAGTTTGTAACAACACCGCTCTGATATGTGTGGCCTATTTCCTGCGCCTTGCTTTGTCTCTGGCATGTTAAGTGTTTTCCCTGTCATCCAACTAAGAGTTTATTGTTTATACTTCTAGAGCACCAACACTAGCAAAGAGCCAATGGTCTCCTTTTCCAGGGACTCTGTGGCTGGACAGCACGTTCAGACAACACAACATCCACACGTACAGATACAGCATGAAGAGGCCACATGTAAGCGCTTAATGAAGTACTTTATTATAGCTACTACCTTGAATAATGTGTTCTTTTGAAAGAATAGAAATAGAAAGACAAACCTGCTAGTCACCCAAAAGAAAATGAATGTGTATGTGATTTGTATGATCTCAATGATCCCACAAGAAGCAGATAGGGAGGCTGACTCGAATCTGTTGCATTTATGCTTCGCTGTGAGAAAACAAAAAGAGAATCATTAAAAAGTCAGAATGAGAAAATGTTTGGAGAGAAACAGTTAAAATTGTCTTAGCTTTAGCAAGAATTGAAGGATACGTTTTAACTATTTGTTTTATGTCAATATTAACATACTAAAGTTAAATCTAAAGGCCTAAGGCAGCCATGTTTACAATTGCTTGAATACCCTGAGAGCAGCTCAGTTTCCTTGTAGACTTGTTACTCTTGTAGAAGTGAAATAGGGTAAAAGTAAAGGAATTTTACCTTGTCATTTTTTCTAACACTTTCTCCAGGCTCCTCGTCGGATTGTGGTGCTACAACAAATAAAGCTATGACATTTTTAAGGGGAGCAGTGGCAGAGTTAAAGATATCACCAGAGTCACTTGGTCATCTTTTACAGCAACAACGGATTCAGCCAACAACGCTGCCAACTCAGCCATTAGTCACTCAAATGCAGCCACCAATGTTACCTCCTCCTCCCCATCCAAACTTTCAGTCAGTGGATCTACTCTCCCATCTGCTCGTGACTAGCAATCCTTTTTTAATTCCAAATAGTGAACCACCGATAGCAAGCAGCTCGACATCAGTAGACACCAGGGAAGTTTTGGGTACTACCCTTGAGTATGTACACGGTGAAGGTCAATCCCATGAGACATTTACATCATCAAATGTACAATTTCAGAATCAAGTCAGTGATGAATTGTTAGTGGAGTCTGTTTCTAAGGGGTTGGATATCCATGTTGTTGGTCTATCCAGTCAAATCACAAGGCCCATCACTGAGACCTCCGCTTCTACACTTCCATCAAAGCTTTCGGTCAGTGGACCCTTTGGCTTTCATAATTCAAAGTTGATTACATATTCACCGTCTCCAAAACAGAGTCTCGTAACGCAAACTAGGACGACCCACATCAGTTCAGTCGCACCGTCTTCTGCTTTATATGTTGAATCACAACAATCTCAGACTCAGCCAGACCGGGTGGTTCCTGAGGGTCAATTTCATCAAATTTACCATGAGCCAAGCTCAATCCAGATTTCTCAAACGAATCTCAAAAACGCGTGGCAACTTATACATCAGAAAACCCAACCTTCAGCAACCATCTCAAAAGTAGATCAATCAACATTTTCACAAAGTTTTCTCCCAAAGTTTCAACTGGAGTTATCGACAATTAAGCATTATTTCCCTTTCAAACAAACTCCTCCGTCTACAGTCACAAAGCCTCAAATATCCCAAATCCATAGCAAACCTCTTCTGTATTGCTTAAACCAACTTCAACAATATCTACACTTTCTCAAACCCAACATCAATCATCTCAAACACATAATCCACTGCTCCACTCGCAAGCTCCCCAATCACAGACAGAAACTTCTCCAATCCAACACAAAGACCTTCTCATAATCCAGCCCTCTATCTCAATCACCCATCCTCCTGACCAAACCTTTAATCCTTCAATACTGGACCCTGAGATTCCTCCTCTACATCAAGTCAATATGTCCGATCAGATGCATCTAAATACGAGCAGGCAAGGTGAACCAGATCAATCAGCTAAATCCAGAAATGAGACCAAGCTGACAGAGTGGCTCAAAAGAAATACCTCCCAATCACCAATGACCAGCAATAATCCAAGGTAGGTAGCATAGAAAGATGGTGGAGTGGTGGACGTTGTGAATGGAATAATGTAAATTTAACTTTTCCTGTTTCACGCTCAAGAGTAACCCAGCAGTCACCATCATGGCTGCCTGTGTTGGAGAAACATGACATCCCCATCGTGGTGGGAGTGGGCGTCTCTTTGGCCTTCATCTTTATCACTGTTACCTTCTATTCAGTGGTCCAGAAGAATGAACCAGCACCAACATGTCGAGCAGGTCAGAGAGCCTCGGTCACATCAGAAGTCCGCAAAACTTTTTCACATTCTGAGAACTTATTCCACAAGGAAAACTTTTACATTTGTGGGAATAAGCTTAATTATGATTGTTCAGAGAGTTTGATGGAAGAGAATTGAGACCACTCTCATGTCTGTTTGTTAAAGGGGAACACAATTCAGATTGGGCCGTTATGTTACAATTGCACATGTGAAAGAGAATTTATTAAAGCCTTTGTAAGGTGGTTCTGAAAAAGACTGAATTGAATAGGGATGCCGCTTTAGGACCTTAAAAAACGTGAACAAAACCATCCGTAACAAGATTGACTATTTATATATTGTGATTTTAAATGCCTGTAATTGCTGCCACAGGGTAGGTGTTAGACAAGATGATTTCCTGCTGCTCAAACAGTTTCTTTTTACACTTTACGTAGCAAACTCACAAAAAGGTTTAAACAAGAGGTCATGTAAAAAATTAATTCAACAGCTGGTTAGCATAATTTGGCTCTGTCTAAAAGAAACAAAAGCCGTCAATAACCAACCCTAAAGCTCACAAGAGTGGTATCAATCTTCTGTCCAACTGAATGTGAATAAAGAATATTTACTAAAATGTAAAACTATTCCTTTAGAACCAACTAATGTGTCGTTGACAGCTCAGCGGAATCTAGGTGTCCCCATAAGACACACTGAACGTCGAGCTGCAGGACGAACTTACGAAAACAGGCAAATACACTTTGATGAAAATATGAACTAGACAATTTATATCTTTACCTCTCTGACAGAGGTACAGAAAAAAACAGTGTGTTTTTTCTTTCACAGAGCTTTTGAAGACGATGACTGTGTGGCTGTGATTGAGCAGAGCCCCAACACAGCAGACACACAAGCCCGACCTCAAGGACCCAGCTTGGTCAAAGTGCAAATGGAGCCCACATTTGAGGATATTCTGGAGGACACACCACCCACTCTGGACAACCACTCAGTCTGTGTAGAGACTTACCCTGAGCCTATTCTTGGCACAAAGGTTTGATAATGCAGAAACACATGAATGTGACAGGATACAATTATTGTCCATATATATTTTTAGTTTTAGATTTGGGGACTTTTTTGTACTCTTAGCAGATGGGGGGTGACAAGATAACACTTGGACAGCACAGATGTAAGGCAGTTTATCCAACACTTTGTAAAAGTTACAAATGTGAAAAACTGAAGAGAAATGTCTCCATCATGGCTGCCTGTGCTGGAGAAACATGACATCCCCATTGTGGTGGGAGTGGGCGTCTCTTTGGCCTTCATCTTCATCACTGTTACATTCTATTTAGTGGTCTAAAGGCGGCTGTGGCTCAGTTGGTAGAGTCATCACCTTTAATCCAGAAGGTCAAGGGTTCGATCCCCACCGCTGCTTCGGTGGCAGTGTATGAATGGATTAGTGTTGTACTTACTCTATGATGCACTTTGGATAAAAGCGTCTGCTTGTAGAATTGTAGAAATGTACCACTACTGGACGATTTGTAGCCATTTAGGCAGAATGATATTCAAGCAATAATTCAACATAGACATAATAAAGGTAAAACTTACACAGCAGTGTTGGTTGGGTAAAACAGCTAAATACAATGCCTTCCTATTTATCAGCTACTTTTGCTTATTAGATTCAATGTTGCACATCCAATTCTGTTAACTGGTCTTGAGTAGTATTGTTGAAAACTAAAAAAAAAAACTGTAAATAGACTTGTTGGTCTACAGAGTGAGCCGCATGACATCTTCTAAATTATCTTTAGTGATGTAATTTGAGTCAGCATTGGTCAGGGTTAAAGATAACACGTTGAGACATACAATACGGCTCAAAGTTACATTGGACACCATTAATACTGAAAACCCAAACATACATCTCAATGATGGATTGGTTACGATGCACTATGGGTAATGCAGGCTTCACAAGTTTGATACTTTGATTTATTCCCCTTTTTGAGTGCCATAATTAGAGAAAGAAAACCTAAAATCAAATGATTGCTGTCAGGATATCTTTATTTCCGCAAAATGACCTTGCATGGTTATCAGTTCTTAAGTCATTAGATGTTAAGATAGCTTCTAGCATGTCTACAGTCTATAATGTTGTCATTGGTCAAAAGTTGGTGGTCTGTAGGCTAAATAAATTTGGCCAAATGAACATCAAATCAAGGGGGCATGATGTCTGTCCTGACACTACAGACTTAAATGAAGGAGGATGCTAAAATGCTAAGGCTATAAAAACAAGCCCATTTAGAGATATTGTATGTTTTTATTGTATTATGTTGGGTTATTAAAAGAATAATTCACTTATCTGTATTGTATAATAAATGGAGGGCTGAGCTCTGCTGGCCAATTTATACCAACTGTTAATGAATCCAAGAATTCTGTTGATTTTTTTGGTTTGTGAACATTAAGTTGGAATTCACAGCTGCTTTCCTCTCCATGTCAGATTGATCCGTCTCTGGAGGAGGAGAAAGGCTGCAGTATGTCCCATCCCAGCATTCAGCTGCAGTGTGCAGAGGACTGGACCAGTAACAGAGGAGACAACCACAGCCCATGTCAGGATGCTTTACCTCCTCCATCTTCCTTACCCTCTCGTTCAGTTTCCCCCTCTCTATCGTCCAGACCTGAGGCAGGCCTGCGCTCCTCATTAACCCTGCAAAGCTTGGAGTCATGTGGAGCACCCATCCACCACAGCCTCAGCATCTCACATGGAAACCCTCCGCTGCTCCTCTCTCACAACGTCTCCTTGGGCCTCACTACAGTTGCAGTGGATGTCCATTTTTACCCAGCAGCCACTGCTTCAATGGCAGTAGGCACTAGTACACATATCAATTCAGTGTCTAATTCGACTTCAGTGGCGGCACCCCTGTTTGGTCCAACATTAGCTAACAGTCAGGAGAATGACCAATCAACTGCCAGATTTTGTAAGTAAGTAGCTAGCTACCGATAAAAGCATCAAGAGCTAAACACGACAAACCATCTCCCTCTGTAACTGAATAGCTGTAGACATACTAAGGACAATGTGCATCCTAATGTGCAAAAGCATCTTTTAATAAAGCATCCAGTAATTTAGGAAATGCACTCAAAAATCTAATTTTGGCATTTGACTGGTTCACTTAAAAGCACATTGTAGTGACAAAGTGCTGTTCAACCAAAAAGATTAAAACTAAGAATGATTTAATAAACTGACCACATCTTATAGAAATATAAATACAGTTCAGCCAGCAGAAATCACACCACTACTATTATATTGCTCTGCTAATCATATGATCCACAAGCTTAAAATAATTTTATGTATGCATGAGTTCATGATAAATCAATCTACGAGAAGTGAATAGTGAAAGAATGACATGGGGATTTTTTTTACATTTATAAAAGTAAGAGACATTAAAAATTATAAGTAATAACATTTTGTTTTCTATTACACTGTGTTCAAAAATGGCGGTTGTGTCTGAAGTCAGTTAGCTCAGTGCTGAAGGACTGGGCAGGGGGAAACAGACGGCCTGATATCAGTTAAAGTTTACCTATAAACTTGTCTTATACATTATTTGTCATCCTGTTAAATCTGTACAAAAACAGAAATGTAGAAATTAGGATTTGTGGTTTCAGAAGGAATGTTTCTGTAGAATATTTTCTTGCAAATTTTCCTTTTTTCTTTTCTTCTGATAACATAGCGTCTTTACTGCTCATGTCTTTTCATCAAGATATTTAATCAATCTGCAAAACACTCAGTGGTTTTGCAGATTGAACATTTTACTTTTATTAATTACTGAGCTTTGGAAGTCCTGGTGAGGTCCTTTTTTACTCTGAACACAGATAGGCTTGCTGTCTTCATCTGCATCCGGTCTTTATGCTAAGCTAGGAAAATCATCTCCTGGTTTAAGACACGAGTGGTATTGAGCTGAACCTCTAAAAAAGAAAGCAAATAAAAGTGCAATGGGGCTGACTGTAAATTAGCGTCCACATTTTTTTCTATGTATTTCATAGCTTTAGCACAGCACTTTTTGTGTAACCTTCTGCGAGTACATTCACTGTGACATTATATAATAACTGTAGTAACAGGCTGCTACTGTACAAAGCTTCAAGTCTTGGTTTCTACCTGTTGTATTTTTTACATTTCTTTATTTTGATACTTAAATAGAAATAATCTGTATCATCCTGATTCATCCTGATTGTTTTATTGATTATTGGTTAGTACATTAATACCTATTTGTGTTTTAAAGTTTATATTCTTTAGTGAAACAGCCAAGGATATTTTACTATGTCACCAAAGTTTGCATTTTTTGTGTGTTTAGGTAACCTGCTCATTCTTTTATATCAAGCAACCTGACTGTTATACATTTTTGATACTAAAGGAGGCAAAGAGGGGCTGTATCAATAAACAATAAGACAATACAGCTGAAGTCTAAAGTTATTTGTTTCATTTGATGTGATTGTTGTTGCTGGTTAACAATATTTTCAAGCTAGATCATCATCGTCCAGAAGATGAAGATACTTTGTTAAGATTTCTGTAGCTGTATCTCATAAAAGGTCATGAATCTAACCATGTGCTCCAAACTTAAGCACACCATGTTGTATTTTTTATGATCAATGAGGTTACATTGTAACTTGTGTTTTTAGTTATTATATCTTCATTTTTAAAGAAAAACTAAATTTTGATTGGAGATGCTCTTGTCTGGCCTGTTTTTCGATTACTCTCTTCTTCTCCTTCTACATCATTTTTGGTCCATTCACCTCTGCCATGATGACAGTGCTGAGAATCCACCCAACTCCAGAAGTGGGAGATGTTTGCCAGGACTGGAGGAGAGCTAACTCTTGGAATAAACTTTGAAGAAATGAAAAAACAACAGTTTTTGAAGCCATGACTCAAAGAGTCAAACATTCCTTTCCAGCTCGCTATTGTTTCAAATATAACCCTTAAGTGTTTGGAGATATTGTTCTCTGACAATGGAGAAATACACAATCAGGCCTCAATTATTCTAGATCATAAAGATCTAAAGTAAGATTCATCATGTTTAAAACATTGATTCTTTATAGTATGCAATTAGCTCAATAGTTTTGAGACATTCAAAACTAAAGGGCTTTTTTTCTCAGTAGACATTTTGTCTTGTCATGGGAGAAAGATGTGCTTATAACACCTGAGATGTGCTTTATTTAGATGTCCCATAAGCTGTGACACCATGAGAAGGAGCCAAATAACATGAAGTTAAAATTGCTAAATGGAATTCAACCTTCAGTAATTTTATAATTTGAGCCTATGTTTACTCTGAAAGCATCCTGAACACTTGCTGAAAATGTTTTTGTTGCTATTTATCAGTAAAATTGTAAATTACCCCAAACTGACAGAGTCAATGCTCAGTGAACAGATACAGCAACAACGCCAGCAGACATCCAACATCTTAAAAATGTAACCAACAGAGGTCAGTACAGCTATGCTTTTTCTCCAGCTATTCATGCAACTGGCATTAAACTAGCTCTGTATAACTTTGGATTACCCTCACAAACATTTTAGCCTTTGTCTTTGCAAACACAAAGCCACAGTTGTTAACAAAAAAAAGGATATAAATATAAAAGGTTGTCTTAGTTGCTGTTTTTTAAGCCAAGTTCAACACCAAGTATCACATACTTGGTTTTACCTTTGTTTGACAAATGCATCATTAGCACACACTGTGCAGCTTAGAAGCATAATGATTTAGCATGATGACAGAGCATTTTGATACCATGCTCTAGTGCACATTATAGTAAAGCTGTCTTTCTCACTTCTAAATTTACACATACTTGAAAAACAGAAGTCACTCTGACTTTATTCTGAGAAACCACTATAGAGTGTGAACACTTTTCTCACGTATACAAGGTGATGCACCAACTTCTGCATCCTGTTCTTTCCCCAACGAAAATGAAATCATGAAATCATGTACATGTGCAATTATTACGTGCTGCTTTTGCATTTCAATTTCCCCCGGGATCAATAAAGTATCTATCTATCTTGCTTATGATGTTATAACTTTAAATTTGCTGCCTTTGTGCAGTGTTTTGCAATTTTGGATTGCTCTATAAAGAATGATTACATGTGCACAGCTACAGTAAGTACTAATGTCATTATACTCACTTTGTGTGCTGATGAGAAGATACACAATGTTTTGCATGTAAGCATTCTAAAATTAGTGAATTGATATTAAACAGTAGATTCTTGCAATACTGGTGATGTTTGTTTTCAGTAGGTTGTAGGTTATTCTTCAGAACTCACACCAGGCAACCAGTTTTACATGTTGGTGCTAAAAGATAATGACAGTTGTTTATGAAGTCCAAATATCTACTGTAAAATTGTGTTTCTGCAAAAAGTCAGGGATTATCAATTAGGATTCTTCCCCAGAATACAATTTAAATCCATCCCAAATATCTACATCAGAGAAAAGTAGAGGTCATTATAGTCTGTAAATTCACAGTGAAAACTTGGACTCATTTGTGTTACAAATCAAAAAAATAAAATGGATGCATTCTCTGGGTTCATGAAAGCCTAAATATTTTTTTTTAGCCAATTATTGAACATGTGATGAAATATTTCAGTCTTGTTCAAAGTCGTTGGCAATGCTGCTAACGTAGCAAAACAACTTTGCATGGCTTTTAAATCTATAGTGACCCCGTAACACTGAGAATTATGTGATGCTAATCTAATATAGCGTTCGAGATGTTGTCGTACCAATTTCCAGGGTTCGACTGATACATCTTGCTAAGAATTTGCACCACGTTTGAAAAACAAAAACAAAGATGCAATCAACCACCAACAGACATGTTTTTATTACATCTTAATGTTGTCAAGGTAACCTGTTGTTTTGGCAAGATCAACCTAGCTAATCAAGAAGTTAGGTTGTTTTTGAATTAAAAAAAAGAAACAGTGTTGTAATAACACCATTCTAAAAAGAAGAGTAAAATAACACGAGAACAAGTTCAAGATGCTTTATTGGCATGAATGGTAACAACCGTAATTGCCAAATCAAAAATTATTAGAACAAAGATGAACAAATGAGTCCCAATAAGCTCTGGAAAATGTTCCTGCTGAATAATGAATACATTTATTACAGTTCTCTATAAACATCAGTACATTATTTGTCAGCTGTACTTTCAAGAGGTAGACCTTAAAACACTGAGCTAGCATGTTTTAGCTTTATAGCCATTAACTGCTCATGAGGTGACAAATCATTTAAAGTTCAGTGGATGGTTTTCTTGGTTTTGCTTCCTCCTCATTTCTTGGCACATGGAAGTCCACATACGGACACCACTTGGTATTGAGGCACACCAGTTTCTTCAAAGTAGCCGTTTTCACGATATTGAAGCCCGTCTCTCCTCCAAAGGTGCTGGACTTCCAGTACTCAGGGGAGCAGATTGGATTTCCCATCAGGCCCTTCAAAGAGAAGGGAGCACCCATCTCTACCATACTCTCACCAAATATGCCGTCAGAACGAGTTTTCTCCAATAGGACGCCAGTGTAAAGCTCTAAAGCATCTATGTCACCGTACAATTCCTCCAAACCTCTGGCCATTTCTGTCTCACCTGCAGGGAAAAGAAAGGATGGAAATTATGCATTGCTTACTTGTTATGTGTCGCCAAAATCTGAAGATACTCACAGTCATTACTCATAATACTGTAGGCCTAATGGAACAAGCTGATTGGTTTCCTTTACCAATTTTAAAATCAAAGTTAAATAACTCTGTCATTTACCTGTTACAGGTTTGATTAACACTAGCATAGATTTAAGTTGATTAACTTAAGTTACTCAATAATGACTGGATAGGTTCCCCCGGAAGCAGCGGATGGTCCCATCTTACTGTGGTGACCCCTTTCTTTTCTTGTAGTACCAACATCAGATTGATATTTGTATCTCATAACAGTCCTTGTTGCACTGGTCACAGGCTGGGTTACCGGCCTGTTGCTATTCTGATGCATGTCATGCCCACTCTCTCTCCCCACATTTCTTATCTCTCTACCCTTTTCTTTATTAAATGACAGCAAAAAGTCTGTGAAAATAATCATAGTAAACTTAAAACTGACAGGATGCATTTTGGATGACTTTCCAGATCCCTCGACTTCTTATCCACTGTCGTTAGTTGAATAGGTAGAGCTCTGCAATTCTTTGGGCCAAATTGCTGTAAAAGTGACTCCGTCGCTATTATCCTCATTCATACTAAGTATAAGAGTTGATTCACAAATGCTGGCGCATCAGAAGCAGTAATACTTGATCAGTGGTTTAATTTATTTTTTATTGAATATGAGAGTGGGTAGAGTAGAAAACTATAAAGAGAGAGAGTGGGGAATGACATGTGGGAAAGGAGCAACAGGTCGGACTTAAACCTGGGCCGCCCGTTTGGAGGACTACATCCTCCATACATAACCTTTGACCTAATGGCTAGGCCACCTGCGCCCTGTGGTTAGCTCTTATCAAGAAGTGGTAAAAAAAGAGACTGATGCAACCTTGTTGAGCAGTTAACATGACCTGAGCAGAAATGGATGCAAGGATGAACCAGTGTGAGAAAAGATAAAATTAGTGACTTTTTAATGTTCTATTAAAAGTTATAAACAATTCAATACGTTGCTATGAAATTATGTATGTTGTTTAATCTTGCTATTATCAGATAACTGGTTTTACAGTCTATTTAATTCTTACATTTAGCTCAGTTATTGACCTTTTTCAATGATATGAAGGAATTGAGGTGATGTAATGAAAGACCAATAGCTTCCCCTGTGCAGCAATAATGTAATTGTTCCAAATGTCACTTTATGCAAAACCATAGAAACAAAAACAATTCAAAATTCTAAAGGATGACAAAGAAAACACAATTTATGACATGAATCCAGTTTTGAATAATTTGAAGTTAAAATGAAGGAGTTAAAGGCATTAAAGTCATAGTTACAGTATTTTAGTTAGAAAATTGAACATGCTTACCAGTAAGTTCATAAAAAGAGGTGTATGGCTTTAAGTTAAACCTCTTTCTGTATTCATTAAAGGGCTGCACACGGGCTGCTCTGGACTCTCTGATGACCATTTCTGCCACTTTGAGAACAACTTCATGAGAGTTTTTTCCTCCACCGATCTGAAACACAAACAAACAAAAAAAGCAGTCCCTGTAATGCCAAGTAATTGTTCTAGTCTCTGTAATTGGATGTGATGGTGAATCGTGTCAAATGCAGCACTTCGAGAAAGAAAAGGATAATTTGCTACTTTAACTAGTGCAGTCTGCAGTGCTATGGTGGACTCTAAATTCTGACTGAAGAACTGTTTAGAAATACTTTCTCACAGGCTTGGCATGTAACCACACTCATTGATCAGCATCTTTTGTCTTGCATGCAAGTGATGCTGCAGAAAATAGGTGAGATATATTATCTCTCATTTGATTCGATGAAGAGAATGTGAGAGGAAGTCTGCTTGAACTGAAGACACGAAGTGGTTTGGTGGTTTTAAATATGTGACAAATCAAAAATTGCAACATCACTGTAATCTATTTGAGAGCTCTTCTCAGATACCAAGGAGCAGAGAGTTGGTGATAAATGACATTTCTGCAAAGCAACTACTTTCCAGCTACGTTTGTATGTCTTTACTGTGATAAAAGTCAGTCTGATGGGTCAGAAAACTTGAATTTCATCATCTGTTTTATAAGTATAGCACATTTTTCATGCTCCTGAATTTGTAAAACATGAATTTGAAGGTGTCTGAACAATGGGTGCCTTGATTTCTTTAGAATCACCAATACAAACTCGTAGGTACTATTAACTGCTTTCTGACTCAATTGGATAAGTTATACTATCTTGTCTACCTGTCCTGCAGGCTGACGAGAGAAAGCGTCCACCAGTTTCTCCACCCCGTAGTGCGTGAGGAGGGAGGTATTATAAATAAACTGGGAGTATGGGATTTCTTCTCCGTCAATGATGAAGCTGTCAGGCATCAGCGGGTGCCAGTGGTAGAGGTGACAGAACTCTAAAGAGATGCGGTTGCTGTACTGGAAACGTGCGTTGAAGAGCAGGGTAGGATCAAACTTCATCTTCAGCAGGTAACCACTCAGCTGCTGCACATACTCTTCGATTATGATGTTTATTGTCTCTCCTGTAGGAAAAAAAAACATTTACTCTGAGCCAAGGCAGGACCATATTATTTCTACAAACATTTAAACTGTATATAAATACATGTACAACCCTACAGCACCCCACTTTGTCAAAAACTGACGCTTTGTAATTTCCCATTGGCGTCTCATACACAAGCAGCAGGTACATTGGAGTTGATCTTTTCCTTCTCGACTCCTTAGGGTTGGATCTGTTATTAGTGACCCTTAAGTATTTGGTTTGTCCCTTTTTGAACATTGTTGTGTCTGTGAACAAGTACCCAACTGTACAGCATTTTTTTAAAGCCCTGCATTTTGAACTGGGGTTAAACCCAAGACTCCCGGTTGTTAGTTCTGCATTATTTATTCCTCCCATCGCCACCATCAAAAGCTTTAGTGCAGGACATTTTATATTCCCCCTAATAGGTTTACACTGGAGTTGGATGAAACTCGAGTTGATGTCACGCTGCAAAAGGTTGCCTTGTGTATCTGTAGGCTATGAGACGCTGATGGTGCATGACAAAGCATTGGTATTGGACGACCTTTTAATGAGGGCATCATGTCTTCTGATGCACTCACCAATGATGATGAGTCTGGTGGTCTGGAAGAGCTGCTCATCATCCCAGGTGGGATGCTCTGTCTTCAGGATGTCACAGACTCTGTTATGCTCTCAGCCATACTGTAGCGTACATGGTGAGGCCTGGCAGGATGCCAAACACCTCCTGACCAATGGCAAGACGCTGCTCAGGAGTGACAGCTTCAGGATACACCATGTGCACAGGGACCTCAGAGACTCTAGGAGGGTACATCTCACCTTTTACTAACTGTGAACAAATAACAATCAGTTATACACATGCAAGGGATGTATTTCTTTAAAATTGTATTTCAAGCTTTTGCCTTTTATTGTTGCTAGCAAAGCTTTTTGAGACAGGAAATGAGGGGAGAGAGAGTTGGGAATGACATGCACCAAACAGCTTCAGGATCAGGAATTGAAGCTGCAAGGACTAACTCTGTACAGTGCCTGCTCAACCAACTGAGCAAAAAACCAGCGCTCCAAGAGAAGCGTATTTTAAAGCCTCGATCAAGCTATTCAAAAAGCTATTTTCTCTTTTCAAATCAACTTTAATTTGGCTGTGTTGTGCTCAGGACAAGATGGGCTGAGTACTACACTAGATGTTAAAAGTACTACAGAGCTAACAGCCTCTTTAATAGACTACTTGTGAATCTAAAAATATCCTGTGTCACTCTAACTTCTGAGAAACTTGTGGTACAGTTTTTCAGATAACAGTGATAGCGATTGTAGAGAGACACACCTCTTACTCATTTCTGAATCACTGGTAGATGTTATCCAGCATTTGTCAGACTTATTATGGGGGTTTGAGCGGGAAGGCCCTCAAACCATTCAGTCTGCTAAACTGCTTAAAAGGCACTTTGCTTGAGGATGGTCTAGAAAATGTTACTGAGCTGAGTGTACGTGGTCTTCACAAAAAAGAGCATATCTGCTATCAATTTCACATTTTGCTTTCATGTTGTGAGGCGTGATAAAATAAGTATTTAGAATTAAATTAACATTACCACTGTGTAGAGATAGTCTGCAATATTGTTATATGTATTCAAAAAACTAACTTTTATATAAGTAGAAAATTGGCATCTTAATGGAGTTCAGCGTAAGTTCAAGCAGGAAGACTGGTGATATTCTCTCACGTATTTATCCAATTTCTTCATTCAACTTAGCCACTTCCTCTACCACTTCCACCATCTCCCTGCTATGGTGACCAGCAAATTGTTTACTCTTTAAGTAATAATCCAACAGCGGTTCAGCAAATGTTGAAATCTGTTCTCTCTCTTCCACAGTCAGTTTGTCATTGCAATGCAATCGCTGCAACCCTCCTCCACCCCAGTCATTGCCCTTCCGAGTACATGAAGTTGTCATGATGGAGTCTAATCCCCAAAGACTTTGCACATTTATTTCCAATATTGTTAAATAATAATTGTTCATTCTTAAATAAGTCTCTCCTGATTGAAATATACTAAAGGTACCAAAAGGAAAAGGAAATGGAATCATCCATTTCAGTATAATACGATAGCCTATGTTTGGGTGACTCATGCAAGTATCATTTTGCTGTTGCTCCTTGTAATGGTGGGCCCTTTCTGTATACTTTTTATCCACTACTTGGTCATGATAATCATAATCATAATCTACAATCATGTATCAGAATATATTTTTTTATCATGTTTTGTATGAATAATACAAATCATCTTAAGTTAAACCTGTACGTATAGTAGAAAGGAAAACTTTCTGATTGACAGCAGATTTTGTCCCTCAGAGACTCCGTTACTGGTCCTCATGCTAAGCTAAGCTAACTTGCAGCTGGCTCTTGCTAAATTTTTACAATGCAGACATGAGTGATATTGATCATCTCCTAATGCTCTGATATACAAAGCAAAAAGACCCTTCCTTCCACCATGCCAAGCTCTTACTCCATTACCTGATATTTTAGCTTTCCATCTTTATGAAGGCGGAGTTGAAGCTGTCGCGCGAGGTTATCGCCATAGATATTACCGGCATCTACCTGGATGAGTAAGAGAAAATACATAGCCAAATCAAGTCAAACCCAAATATTGACATGTTTTATTGTTTTCCTATCTTTTGTAATTGTTTAATACTCCTTCTCGTAGTAGCCGACTGCTGTATCTCACCCCATGTCCTAAAGCCTTGGTGAAGCCCCCAGGAACCTTATGGTTTGTCTTGAAAAATTGGTGGGTGAAATGTTGGGCCATGAAGGCAAACATCAGGTTTGTCCCCTGAGGGTCTGGCCTAAATTTATTTCTCCTGAAAAACCTCTCAGCCAAAACGTTGGTATCAGGAAGAACAGATTTACCTGGAAAGTAAGATACAAGAAACGTTGATGTCAAGAAACATTCCCTCGGGTGCACAGCTGTGAGCAGCTGTTTACATGTGGGTCTCACCTTTAGTTCCCATTGGTAGAGGGCAATCTTCAGGTACAGGTGGGAGCAGCCGGGTGTAGTACGAGATGTTGTAGTAGGACTCCCAGCTAAGGTATCCATACTTCGTATTGTAGGTTGGAGGGCTTGGGATAAGGTGGCTTCTAACTATGGTAGAACAAGTCACAATTTAATTACACATTTCTATTTCACAAACTGAGGATTTATTTTAAACCTAGCAAAGAAAATGTTAATATTTATTCAGTTCTAGTAACTTGATATACACATTTTATTCACTGAAATTAACTTTAGCAGTCTCCGATCTGATCATGCACAGTCTTGAAAGTTATTTGCATTAATGTATGTTCATCTGATAACACAAAAACTACTCACCTGTCAGCACTAATCTCATCAATGTGTCTCTCAAGAAAGTGTTGTTGATGATGTCCCAGAAAAATTGGAAGTGTGTGAGGATGTAGTGAACGGCCGCAGGACTGGGTTTCAGCAAGAGATGAACTCTGGTCCAGAACTCAGCTACACAAAAGGTTAAAGAGTCAATGATTTAAGGAAAATATGATCCTTTGTAAAGAATTGAGTGAGTGTGAGTTTTGACCTTTGTACAAATATGTATTAATGCCTAATATTCATCTATAAGCCAATAATAGGAGAAAAACCTTTTGGTTTTTTTTGTCTTTAGGGTTAGAGCCCACAAATGGATCATTTGACTTTTGACCTTCTGAAAAAAAAAATACATCTATCACAAACTAACGATGAAATAGCAAATAACGTTAGTGGTTAGGGATTACTAACTCTTGGGTTTTTTTCTTACAAACAATTCTACAATTTACTTAGCAGACGCTTTTATCCAAAGCGACGTACATCAGAGAGTAAGTACAACACAAGCAAGGATCTAGAAAAAAGGGAACAATGTCAGTAAGAGCAAACGATCAGCTATATAAATACCTCACCAATGTTTGACCAATTACCAAGTTCTGTTTTTTAAGTTTACTATAAGAAATACCCACCTAGTGAGATTTTTCAACCCTGCTATGAAAAAGTTATTTATTAATGACTTATAGCCTGGTAGAGAAGTTGTTGAAAGAACCAACTAATTCTACATTTTGAGAATAATCTTTCTATTTAAGTTAAAACAGGTAAATGTTTAGGGCGCTGGCAGCCTAGTAGTTAGTGCACATGCCGCATGTACAGAGGCCATAGTCCTTCAAGAGGGCGGTGCGGGTTCAAATCCAACCTGTGGCTCATTTCCCACATGTCATTCCCCACTCTCTCACCCCCCCATTCCTGACTCTATCCACTGTCCTGTCGCTAAATAAAAGCATAAAAAGCCCAAATGAAAATCTAGAAAAAAGAACGGAAAAAAAAGGAAACTTTTCTGTACTTACGAACAGTGCAGTTGTCTCCATGGAAACCAGTGCGAATGCAGTCACATTCATAGCCGTCTGTACCAAACCTCACACAAACTCCTGAGTTCTGACACGGGTAGTAACAGCAAGGATTCACTGCAAACAATGACACAAATCATCGTCATTTGTATGGATGATTGATTGTTATAATCTAGCCCCTTATATATCATATGGCTGATGTCACAGTCGGAGTAATGACTTATCTTTATTCATTTTAACTGCACTTAAAATTATACAAACACATATATTTGGCTATCAGATTGTGTTTTTATTGGGTATTTTCTGTGAAGTGAACCTAATCCAGTGAAGTGAACCTTCACTGGATTAAAACTTTTTTTTAAATGTTTTATTTAGTCTCTTCACAGAAATCATTAAACTAAATTTATTCATTCAGAGTTCAGCAAGTTGCTGCTACCTCACACAAACCCCACCAACCTCCTCATATCTTCAACACTCTCACACTCTCTACAACACGGCTTCCTGTCCCACCCCTCTAGATGCAGACGTTCAATGAGATAATGAGACACTGCAGCTATTTCTTTCTCAGTAGCTGTGAACGAGAGCATAGATAGGCATGCCCAATGTACAAGGATAACTTAACATGTTGTGACTCTAAAATTAAAAAGATATTAGTCTTACTCTAGCTGGTACTTGGACGGACTGGTACCCAGTGAAAGTCAACATTTCTGATAAGGTTATTTATCAAATGCACAATTTATTGACTGAATTGTGTGCATTCATATATCATGGGTTATATCTACAGTCTTTTCTACTAGTTTTCACTCTGCAGTGGGTTAGACTCCACCATACTAAGGTTTGTTTACAGAAGCAGAGCATGATGTAGCTCAAAGATGTGGCCCTTCTTTGCCTGGAAATGCAACACTTAGGTTTACATCTATTCATACCTATCTATTGTCAGATACAGTTTTACTTGATTTACAGAAACATTATATTAGAATTGGTATCTGTTGTGAGTAGCTGCCCCTTCAGATTTCACATGCAATACTACATCTGTCCAACAAGTAAAAGCTCATTCAGGGTTTACTCTTGTCCAGCCTCTTGCATAGTCACTCTCTATTTTACTCCTCTTAGTTTGCTACATTAACATTTTTTTGGTCTCTCCACCTCTGCCATGTTGAATCTACTGAGAAAAAACCTTCGCACAGCCATTTCATGAGACAGGGTGTGTAGGAGAACAATGTGTCCATCAAAAACCTAAAGGTAAACTTCCACAAACCGTCTAAAATGCAGACAAATATGTATTGGAAATGGTGTACAAGAAAACCTTCATCAGGCAAACCTGAAGAAACTGAGAAGATATTTCTAAGACTGACAATGATGTGATGCTGTCAGGATTGTTTCCCATGTAGTTGTGCCATACTTAGGCCTATGTGCCATATTCCCGGAGCATTTTGGCCAGTTAACTAAAGATACATATGCAAGAAAAAGGAACTAATATGGGGCTCTTCTGCCAATGATAAGCCAGTTAACCAATTACATGATTTTGCAACGATTATAATACAGTGAAAGAGTTATAATCTTTTTTACAGCAACAACCAATCACCAAGTAGAGTCAAGGCAACAGCACCCACCACGATCACAATCATTTATAAGACTGGTTATTGTTTACAATATATTTTCATTATTGCCATACTTAGCATATAAACACATACTTTACATATTATAATTCATATTTATAACCGCAGTGCTAGTTCATAATTAGACATTAGTACACGTAGATTTTTTTTACGACGATGTTGAAGTTGTTTTTCTGCTACAATATCTTTTTTATGTATGTGAAATTCAAATGACTTAACTTAAATCAGTTAATTAAATAGTTACTGATACGCTTTTCAAAACAAATATAGCTGTGCTATTATCATTAACACAACTTTATGTGAAGTGATTGAAGTTGAATTATCCATTGGTGCAAATCAATTGTTGGGTACAATAATTAAATCTTTAAAAATAGGGAGTGAACGTACAGTGTATGAGTATGCTGTCATTATAATTAGTACATCCTAATCAAAAGGATCTCAGTGCATCAGTTTGGACTTTGACAATTCTTACCAACACTTGGCTCACCAGCACAGGAGGAGCTATGGACCAGCAACAGGTGGATGAACAGCCAGATAGAAAAGAGGCCAAACTCTATAGAACAATTAAAACATTTAATTAAACCAGAAATTAAATTCTGGCTTAAAAACATCAAATATGGTCAGAATGTGTTCCACTGAATAATTTTAGGACTCACCTTTCATGATTCCACGATGCATATTGTTATGTAAGTTCAGCTTTTGTGCACTCTCTCCATAACAATAAGCATGCCCACTTGTATGGTCCGTCTATTTAACATCAGGCAGCAGTGAATGGGGGCGGTCACACAGTTTCCTCTACTTCCTCTATTTTTAAAGGAGGCCTGCTGCATTTTGCACCAAATAACTTTGATTTCATATTTCTTAACACAGAACCTTTGTGCAATTTTCACTCACAAAACTGTTCAAATCAATATCAATCTGCCTGTTTATTTTAAGTAAACAGTTGCCACCAAGTATGAATATTATTGTTTGTGTGAGTAAAATGATAACAGTGAATGGCAACACAGGAAACAGGGTGATGCTCAAGGAGAATTTCAAAATTGCTTTGTTGCCACCTGCTGGTAAATGAATGTATCACTTGTTGAAATAATTAACTAATATGTTTTATTCAATTGACAGTCTGCACAGACTTACTAAAATTTCTGTTTTCGGAAGATGACTGAAAACTATTTTTAAAATCTAATTGAATTGCTAAAAACTGATTGATGATTCCTTGTTTTGTTTTTTAGGACAACTTAAAAACGTGACTATTTGCATCTAAGTTTACTGTATGCGTTTCATACTCTTTGACCCAGATCAATTAAAGAAGCACTTACAATAGCTGAACTAAGAGTGACACAACCCAATATGTTGTCGGCCTCCATTTTAGTAAAAATAGGTTGCTCTCATTTCCCTGCCAATTATACTCACAGCATCACTGTACCAGGACAAAAATGTAATCTAGCAATTAATGTAAACTCTGATTATAACACTGTCTGCTTTTTTGTTTGCCATCTTGAATTTATTTTAACACATAAACCTGCAAAGTAGAATTGGTATTTTTTTAAATGCTTGTAAATTGTCAAAGGAATGTTAATATAAAACATTTGAAAATATATTGTATTTGCGTCATTTCCAGTTCTTTAAAGATAATCAGAAAGATCTCTACTAAATCAATAGACCCAAAGGAGAATGTGGAGCTCCTATTTCATCTGATGATTATCCTTTTTTTAATATCTGGGGAAAGAAACAAAGAAAAATGATCCAAACAATGAAACTAAGTTGCCAGGTTCTGATCATTCATACCTTCCCACAGAGACATAAACTGAGCTGAAGCGATGGGAGATTTTTGAGTGTTGAGTGCCTGTAATTTTCTGCATACTGTAGCAATTTAAGAACCAAAGCTTGCATGAGATGTCCACATGGGTATGAGTCAAATCTGGACTGAAACATGTTCAGATAATTTTTCAGCAGCTGATGTATTTCAGTGATACGAAAGACACAACAGCAGTTATGTTTCTTTCCCATATCCTGACATCCTCATGGAGGAGACAGTCTGTGTGTTGAATATGTATGAGCTCATCCTCCTGTCACCTTTAGGTGCATATTGTATTGTCTGTTTGTATGTTAGTGCACTTAAGGACAAAAAGACATAGGCAAGCCAGCTAGCCCTTTATGCTGGAACAACTCAACTGAACCTCTTTTAGTTTTCACCCAAAAAAAATAAGTCTTCTTTAAAATCTGAAGTGTTGACACATGGGAACACTTGCAATTTTGAAATATTAAAATATTTCAGCCGTTTTTTTTTTTTTTTTTTACAGAAAATGAACCTTAAAAATGTAAAATGTTATCAAAGTTTGTTGGTATGCATTGTGCAGTCATGTAAACTCTACTAGGCTAATGTAGAAATGAGGCATGAGTCAGAAATAAAGTGCATTAACAAATCCTTAAATATTTTCACTGTGAATGGATGTTGAAATAAGCTTCTAACAATCAGTCGTCAATGTGTTTTTTTCCCCTTCCTTTTTAGCGCTCTGCAGTTTTTGTGTGTTTGGTTTTGGTGGTTGTTTAGATGTGCAGGCATCCATACATCTACTCCTCTGCAGCTTCAAACAGCAAACTGTATTTGAACTACACTCTGTTTCCTACACATGATTGATATGAAAGAGAATGAGAAGCATCAGGAACTAATTATCAAATCATCGTTTCCCGCCTTACAAGTGCCTGAAAGGACTCCTAGCTGCGATGCCATAGGGCTGTTAGCGTGGGCTGCAGGCCCGAGCCGCACTGCTTCCTTTAGCATTCCTGGTAATTGAGATCAGATGCTGCAGTGAGTGGAACCTGGACTCGGAGTAACCTGGAAGCATTTATTTTATGAAAAAAGATGTTTAGTTAAGCCGTGCTCCCGCTCTAAACGAGCCTGCGCCTGGCTCTGTGATGAATATGATTGGTGAAAGCACTGAAGGCTTTTCCTGACTTCTTCCTTCCCCTGGATCAGGTTACAGATTAGCACACTTCCTGTCTAGTTGGGGAGCAAGCCAATAACTGACGGAGCAGCAATGGGCCTTCAGACGAGGGGTATCATGGGTGAGTTTCTAACAAAGCGGAGGGTCCTTATCATTTGTTAGACCTGTTAAAGAAGCAGCTAAAGGAGGACTGAAGTACTCTGGAGCCAGCAGGTGGTCCACTCGTTGACAAGTAACATTTACTCATGTAGCCAGGCTGTACTTAAAGATGCAGTAGACAATTATTTGTCAATAAAAAGACAGATTAAATGACTGTTATATGAAAAGTGACTCATAGTGTTTCCCCTGTGTGCAAACTCACTGCAGTGTATAAGTGCTTGCTGAAATCCAGACATTAGAAATGTTCCAGTGTTACTGTATGGCTGTGTGTTTTTCCTGTTCTGTTTGCCCCATTTCCCCTTCTGTTGTCTCCTTAGGAATCCATTGTTATCAATAAAGGCCTCTAGTTCTGGATTGATGGTTCAAAGGTGTTTCTGTGGTTAATCTTGGGTCAGTTGGTGGGTAGTTGTTAGATCCACAGGGCGGTCTAATGGTCCGGTAAACTATCCATTATGGCACATTTGGTAGCTCACCTGGTAGAGTTTGCTCCAAAAGTAGAGGATAAAACCTGATTCATGCTTCTTGCGGTCAATCATACTGATTGCGGTATACAGAGGAGGAGAGATTGCAATATCTGGTTAAACTGTCTGATTTATGTATTTAATTTCTCTGATAGCTGTTGCTGTTCGTCTTGTCAATCTTTGACCTGGCCATTTGCATAGTGGGAAACAGTCAGCGATAAGACTGGTCTGATGATCTGCTGAATATTTGGCCAGAGAAAACAGTACATACTCTTCCTGACAGATAGTAAACAGTGAGTCAGAGACGAGAGGAACATACTGAGATGATACCAAAGTGAAGAAGCAGCAGGATGATCAGGATAAGCGTCTTATCAGCAACAACAATACTCCAGTTTGAACCACTGGAGGACGAGAGACTGGGATCTGTACCTGGAAAAGACAGCATTACAAATCATCACTGTAACTAGTGTCCACATTGTATCAATCCATCAAAGTCTAAATTGTGTTGCATCACAGTAGCTCCATTTGCAGCACAAAATGAAAGACAAGATTGAACATTCAAAGACCAAACAAGAGGCCTTTGATACACTTTGATTTGGGATTCAGCTTCATATATAATTTTAGGATTACTGGTTGTCCAATTTCAATGTTTACACATTTTTATTTTATTTTAATGTTTTTAAAAAGATATTCCATGTCAGGATTACCTGTGGCCTGTATAAACAGAAAATGACCCTTGACTGTTGTTATGGATTTAGGTGTATAGTCCAATCACAAAGAAGTAGTTAAGTTTGTGAGATATATTTTGCAGTATGTGAAAAAAGATGCAGCAGGTAAATATTTTTTGCAACAGGTGAACAAATTGCAGCCGGTGAGAAAACTGTCTCAATGAACCGTACTTCTTACATAAATATGATCCACCGTTTATTGATTTCCCCATTTTCACACTTTACATCATGCTTTCAAATCACAAAAGAGCAGTTAAGAGCAGTATGACAATTCCTTACTCTTATTACAGCCCATCTCACAAACCCTACTCCCCGTTAATATTTGCATGGTTTTTCATTCCCCCAAAACTTTTGATTGTCCAGAAATCACCACTTACTCAACATTCAGATTCTTGTAACTGCACTTTGAAGTGTATAAAAAGTCGAGCTAGGTAATGTGAAGCCACCCATTGGTTTGTAAACTATCGTTAAGTCTTGAGTTCAGCATTATGGTAGTGTTTTTGTCGCTATAACTGGTTTTAATCAGACATGAAAATAGAGCTGTGGAAAGAGGAGTTGGCTGACATTACATAATTGGAGTTATATTGAACATGGCTAATTCAATTTACTGGCAGTATTGTATAAGGGAAAAGCCAACAACACTCTTGGAGTCCCATGAAGACGCAGCGACATAAAAAACAGTCAATGTCAAACAATGGACAAGCCAGATACATTCAGTTCATACAGGAATACCTGCTGATTAATGTTGAAACTGACTTACTGATACTAGAAATGACTCCCCCAAAAAGTTGGTTTAAACATTTCTGTTAAATTAAGATATGAGACACATAAAGACAATAGAAATGTCTAATTCAGTGACTCAATTAGCTGAAGTGACACCTGACTGACCAGCTGTCACTCATCCGATTGCCCCTAACTAGCCCTAACTTTAAGTCTTTATATCATGTAATTATGTAAAATGGTGAGTTACATAAAATAAAATCTCCTGTGTAGTCGTCATGAGTGGAAAACTAGATGAAAAAAACTAAACAAAAAGCTTTTCACATGTTTGATTGTGCTGTACAGATTTTTCTACATATCTTCTACACATACAGTGGGTACGGAAAGTATTCAGACCCCTTTACATTTTTCACTCTGTTTCATTGCAGCCATTTGCTAAAATCAAAAAAGTTCATTTTATTTCTCATTAATGTACACTCAGCACCCCATCTTGACAGAAAAAAATATTTTTCAGCTCCTCAGATTGATAATTGCTTTCCAATCAACCTTTCCACACCTATAACTTGGCTTCAGTGTGTGCAGCATCACAGCTCAGATTAGCTCTGAAGAACTCCTGGATCTTCATCCACATGTGGACTTCTGCTGCCGCGTGGGGCCTGGGCTCACCCCCCCACAGGACCACTCTTCCCACAACCCCATGAAAGGCAGAGGGGCAGTAAGGTCCATAAGGTGGCTCCAGGTAATGTCCTGCTCCAGGGTAACTCACGCACTCAAAGTTGTCCTTCCCATGATGCTTCAGTCTCTTCGCCATCATGTCCATGTAAGTCTTACTGTCCCAGTTCAAGTCGTCCTCTGAAGCCACAAAGAGAAAACGTCCCTTTGCTTTTTCGATGGGGACCTGGGTGGCCTTGTTCTCCTCTGCCTGGGGATCATGAACTCCATACTTGATAATGCTGGCTCCTGACTCGTGGACAACTAGCTTGCTCATGTCAAATAGCAGCGGAGGGAGGAGTTGGCTCTTCTTATAGTAGATAGGAAAAATTGTATTGGCAGAGCAGCCATTGATCCACACTGTGGCTGCAACACCAGACAGGTAAGAAGCTACTGAAAGGGCAAGGTCTCCACTCTTTGAAAGGGATATCACACCAACTCCTTTACCGCCCACCTGTGGAAAATTATTCAAACTGTTAGCTGCTTTTAATGATTTTCTGTGATACTACCGATCAGCTTTAGAAGACAAACATAAATGTGCACGGAGCCATATTTAAACTAACCCCACATGTAGACAGAGAAGCAACTTAGCAAAATTTGTCACTAAAAAGGTTTCTGGCAAGGTCCTGTTCAAACCCTTCACCTTATCATGTTTCCTTAAAAACTCGACTGCTTCTTCAAAATAATCCAGATGGACCTCTTCGATTTGCCTCGGCATGTCGTCATGGCCGTACAGCGCTACAGTCAGAGCAACAAATCCTCGGTTGGCCAGCAGAGAGGATCTCTTCTCGGACAAACCTCCACCAAAAGTGTACAGATCCAACACAGCAGGGAAAGGGCCTGGTCCTAAACAAATAAGCACATTGAAAACTTTATCAAACACCACATTTTAACTGAAATTGGAATGACAACAATCTAAAGGTCAAAGGTCTCTTTATTGTCCCCACAGGGAAATTTGTTTGCAGCTGGAGACATACAAATACATAAACTACACTAATAAATAATCCAAACATCAAGTGCATGAGTACATAAAACAATGACAGTGGGAACAGCACACAAGTAAAACAAGAAAGAAAAGGGGTTCCTACAAATATAACTGCTGTATATATAAACTGCCCCCATGTTCTGTCTTTGTTGTGTCAAGTGTAGTAGTAAGTGGCCTTATTATTACAGGATCTCAAGGTAAAAAGGTAGTTAAACACCACATACAGGCCTCAATGGAGATATACCTAAATAACTAACTAGGACTGTCAATTCCTTTCATTTTATCAAAAAAAGACTGAACAGGAACCCTTCCCCGATCATGCTCCAATCAGCAACATACAACGGTATACCAGTCAAACATACACCTACCTGGGGGAGTAAACAGGACTCCCCGAATATTCCCCTCTTTAACAGGGATCCTGCTGACCCCATCTCCAATCAGAAGTCTCTCATTAGTCTCCTCTGCTAGCATCCTGCCCGTCTCCTCATGCACAGAAAACTTAACCACATGCGGGTTCATTGATTTTGTTTTTTGAAATCTTTTGTGCAACGTGTCTGCTTTCATGGACCACAGCAAACCCATGGGTTCAACCCCAGTGTAGCTCCCGCTGAGTGAGTGGTCTCTATCCAGGTCAATCTCCCCGTCTCCGTCAGCTCTGTAGGTGGCTGCAGAGCTGAAGACCACTCCCTTCTCGTCAGTGGATCTGGCTCTCAAGGTGACCACCTGTCTTGATCTGAGGCCGGCCACCTTCAACTGAATGGGGTCATCAAACAAACACCGGGAATTCGGCAGCAGCCTCAGTCCGACCTGAGAGGACATCTCTTCTACAAGTTCAGACCTGAAACAGTAGATACTCATTTGTAACTGGATAAGACATCATGACAAAGGCTCCCCCCCCCCCCCTTTCTTGCTCATCCAGCCACAAAATTATTAAATAAATTTAATTAGGCTATGGTCAAAATTATGAAAATTATTATTCTTAAAGGTTATTCAGATTCAGATTTCGAGACTCTACCACAAAAGAAACCATTTCCTCCAAGTCAGAATGAAATTTTGAATTTTTTTTTTTTTGCAGTATCTTTTCAGGGTCCTGATACTTGTGTGATGCTGACGTGCCAAAAGATTCAGTGTGTCCTTATTTGTGAAACTTAAGTATAGAGGGAGAAGGAGAGAGGATAAGAGCTGTCAGGAGAGCTCTTTTTTTCGTTCCTATATTACACAAGGGTGGCAGAATTTAAAGTCTAGGGAAGGTAAATGATATGATTCTACAAACTCTTGCACAGTAGGTGGTGGTATGCACCTTTAAGCTGTTTGCGAAAGTATAACTTCACAAAATGCTCCCATGCCATGGACCATGTACAGTCTATGGATGTTTTATGTTGCTCATTTTCGTACAGATGGCTACTACTCTTCTGATATAGCCTTCCTATAGAATAACATAACAACCTTAGTCGAGGAAATGTATGACCTTACAACTTTAATCTCGTAAATTGAGGACTTTCTTATTTTAAGACTTTTCTCTCATTGCACTTTCGAGATTATTCTCACAAATGTCTGACTTTAATGTTCGGTCCTGACAGAATCTAGGCTACTGTTAAGTGTCGTTACTTACTTAAAGTGAAGTGACTCAATTGGGGTCAATTCTGGTAATTTCTGTGTATTTTCGATAGGTTTAAATGTCAACGTTCCCAGAATGAATAGCTTTTTACGTAATACATTTTGTTTGGAAAGCTTTCGTAACTACTTTTTTCTTCGTCCTTTCAGTTTAAACGCGGTTCGCCAACAGCTTCTGGGTCCTTCATCGCTCCCAAGAGGCAACCTCCGGTGTTGAACACGGAGCCAGTGAGAAAGTGCAAAAAAAAAAAAAAAAAAGCTGCAGTCAGTGACGGGAATTCAGGCTCTATTTAAAGATCCGCATCATTTGGCACAGCTCAGTAATAAGAACCGGTGTTATGCCGAGAAATGTATGTCTGCAGAGAATTGCATGCATCTCGCAGGACAATGCTGTTACGTGTCGTAGTTGTGTGTGTGTGTGTGTGTGTGTGTGTGTGTGTGTGTGTGTGTGTGTGTGTGTGTGTGTGTGTGTGTGTGTGTGTGTGTGCTCCCCAGGTGTTGCTCCTCAGCCTCAGAGTGCCCAGCCACACCTGTAGCTAATTACTAATCAGGAGCAAAACTATAAAGAGCAGCAGAGGCGGCTGGGTGTGTCTTTGAAGTTAAGACATTTAGTGTGAGCCTTCTGTGGAAGGCTTGTGTTCTGATTAAGGCCTTATTGTTTAGCCTATATCTTGATTGTTAGTTTTGAATTGTGTTTAAGGTAGATTGGCTTCTCTTTTGTTCTGTGTTTTTTAAGAAGAAGCTTGTTTTGTGTTGCACGTTTTGCATTAGTTTGTTAATAAATCCATTTTAACTTGGCTTATATTTAGTTCCTATTTCTTTACCCTGGGTTTTAATCTTTTTTGTTACTCCCCTCATCCCCTAGCCATCTTGGGGAAAATATGGCAGGCACAATTTCTGCACTGCCAGATTTGGATCAACACTTAAATTACTATGCTGTCGTATTTTGCATCCAACCTTTACCATTTACTCTTCAGACACTTCAGAGTCACACTGTTTGCTGGTCATATTAACACAAATGCTTCATCACTCATCAGTCTCCAGAATGATAAGGACACTGAACTGTATTACGTATAAACTTCCCATACTTTGTCATCACAGATCTGCCTCTGAAATAAGATTTGTACAGTTTTCTAATACTTCCACAAGTAGCTTGCAGTTTTTGGTAGGGATGCATTTCTCTGCATAACACTGGCTCTTTCGGCTCTTCATTTGGTAACAGTTTGGGCTTTATTAAATCAACCAATTTGAGCAATGTTTAGCTCCCATTGTTCACATAAAAGCAGTACCAATGATTGCAGCATCACACACCACCATTATGTGTAGATGAATAGAATAGTACTTAAGGTAACTATAGCCTGCAAGTTCCAGAGTGTAAATGTTGCAGGTAATACAACGATACAAATGGTACTTGAAAGAACACCAGTTAGATGGATTGTCTTCAAGATGTGTAAAAAGAATGCTTACATGTGAGCATGTCAACATAAGGTGGATGTAGAATGTGTAAATGTTGTTTTTACGCTTGTTCCACTGCCACCTACTGGCTAAAAAAGGTTACAAAGCAATGTTTAATGTTGACAATGAATACCTGATTTCATTTAACGATGCAAACTAAATTGTACTTCCTTGTCCTGTTTTCTTTGTAGTTGAGGAATTCACAGAAAAAAAAATCTTAATCACAATCTAATGAGGTAAAAAAAAAAAAAAAAACTCCTTGCCTTTGTTTCCGGACTGCTTTTTTTTATACCCGAGTGTGTTTGATGTTTTGTCAATCCACTGGAAATTGTGATTCACTGGTTCAAATGAATGTATTATTACATTGGTTTAAAGTGTTTACAGTCCTCAGAAATTAACAGTAGATTACATGCTGCAAATGACCAGAGATCTGTGGTAGGAGTGAGATTTGAGCTCATTCATCAGCTGTCAGAGTGCTGGCACAGTTCAACATAGAAAAACAGAGTCTTCATCGCTGTAATAAAGCCTTTTTTCCCCACACACAACATTTTAAGAACATATTGTTCATGGAAAACAAACATTAAAGTAAAGTCAAAGTTGGCAGTGTCCTAAAATTGTAAAATTCATAACGTTCCACTTGTGTTTCTTACTGCTTTTATTCTCCATACACTCCTTCAGAATAAATTGAGCTTCTTTAATCAAAACAAACAGCAAGCTAGTCCTGGTTGTGATCCAGGTTAAAGATCATTTCCAGCTCTCATTGCTAAAACACTCCTCTATTTCCTGACCCACCTTCCACACTTTCCCCTGGCTGATCAGAGTGCGAGCGTGCCTGGCATCATCCACCTCCTACTTGACACAGCCCGACTCTATGGGTCTCCATCCAGAGCTGCAGGGATCAACAGAGCGGCAGGATATTGTAGTCGGCATCAAACTAAACACACAATGCTTCCTGCACAAGTAATCTCCATGTTGAGCATATTTGATGTGACAGTTTAAACACTTGAACTCAGGGCTGGCCTGTTGAGGAAGGTTGGGTGGGCCAGAGTGGGGTGTGCTTGCACTGACCTATAGGTTTTTCCGTGATTAGGAGCCCTGTTCACCTCTGATTGCTCCGGGTCACTGCAGGAGAGCGCAAGTGGTCGGAAGGAGGTAATTTTCCTCCTGGAGTTGGTTACCTGATTAGGAAAGCACATTATGAGTCCTCAGAAATATCTAAAGCTGAAGTGTGGATCTGGATCCTGATCAGAGGCAAGAATTAGGCTCAATTAAATCCCATTGATCTATAAAAATGTGTTCTTCTCATTAAACTGAACCTTCTGTGTTTCACTTTCAAAATTTACTGTTACATACATTGATGTTGATTATTATTGCCATAAGGACTTCGCCTGGTTGAACGATATAACTTTCTTCATATTTTCCTCTGTCATTGCCTATTAGCTTTACAACTGCTTAGCAAAAAGTGCAATGAATTGTTCAATCAACTTTAAAAAAAATATACACATTTCTCATTTCCAATATGGCAACAAACAAATAAGTGCTGTAAGGATCCTCCTTGGATAAGTTTAGGGGACAAATTCTTAAAAAGGTCATTGACTCTAGCCTTATTCAGACTGTCATTTCAAGCTGGGATATTTACACCTCTGTATCCGCTTCAATCTGAGTATCACAGGGGCGTAAAGGGGGGACGAAGCGACCCACCCTCTATACCGTCTTCGTAGGTGGTAACAGAGGCGAGACGTGTCAGCTGAGCCAGTGGGGGAGCGCCGCACTGTGTGTGCGTGCGTGTTTGACTGAGCGTGTAAGTGGAGCTCCTGCTGTGCTGTGCTTCACAATTGAAACACAATGTCAACCCACAAACTGGGACACTACTATTATGCCATTGGGGAATCAATATAAATGTACAAAAATGGCTGAGGTAAATTACGGTCCTTTTGCAAAAAAAGTGTGTGAAAAGGGCTTTTCATGCCTGTACAGAATTAGCATCATGCTAACGGGTATAAAAATACAGTTTAGCAGTTCCATAAAGTGATGTGATTTTTTTTTAAATTATTAGAAAAGAATGGTCAATGCAAAGAAGAATCTAAGATATCTAGACTTTTTGCAAATTTAAGACCGTAATAGAGATTACTGTAACTGCATTTCATTTGGAAAATCCTTTTAAACTTATTGACACTACCTGCTTGGCTACTGAGTTTGCATCCTAGTGAATAACCAGATTATTTAGCAACTAACAGTCCAGGTATTTCCCTACAAAAATTACACAATTGATTGATTGATTGATTGAGTGATTGATTGATTGATTGATTGATTGATTGATTAAGTTTATTTCAGACATCAAATAAAATCAAACATATCAGAAATACAAAACAAAATGAAAAGCACGAAAATACAATAAACAAAAAACAATGTTCAAATTATTTCGCAAAAAAAGAAAAAGAAAAAGCAAATTACATATATTCAATTGATATGCCTGTAAACAATAGATTTGGTTTGGTTGCTCTCTAACGGCTGAAAATGTAATTTAGTGCAATGCTGGTAAATTCTTTAACATTGCATTGTCTTTATATTAACTATAAACTTGATATATTAAAACAGATATACCTTTAGGGATGTGGAGAAAGAAAAGGCATGGGGACATCTTCTGCTGTATCCAGAGACGTACTTAATGTCTGAACTGTATCAATCTGCCAATCTAAACCATTAGTTACATAACAGCAAAGTGCACCATGTTAAATACTACACGTTCTAATTTAAAGAACAAATCATACAGTAAATACAAATGTTGTCAATTCATAATTCATTTGTAACGGGTTACAAATAATTCATCACAAAAATAAATGTATGAGAAACTGTTGGCTTGAATTCAATGTTATGAAGCCCTACTTTATTATGTGTTCTTGGAAATGTGTTTTTGGCAAGTTCAAACCAAAGTGAGTGTGAGTTTGGGATAATCTAGAAACATCAATACCTGGATGTGGTGTGTCTTTCGATGTGGTAATGTAAGATGAGTTACACAGCTCACTAGCCATTTGAGGGGTTTCTACTTTCACCTAGCAGAGGAAAAAACACATAGGCTCTCTTTCTTCCCTTCTTCAGTGAACTTGATCAGCTGCTTCCTGGCTGTAAATAAAGAGGCATACTGTAATCCACTTGATAAATATCAAGCAGAATACTGCAATCAGCTGAAAGCAATTTGCATGTCTGTGCTGAAGCCAGCGGCTCGTGATTTTCTCTCCTGTCATCTATCACGGACCACATGCTCGGGCCAAAATACACAATACCCCCAAATTGCTGTCATATGGAGTGCAAGCCTTGAAAAAAGCCCTTCATTTTTCCTTGTCAGTACTTCAAATAAACTTGTATTTGTTAAATAACTGGAGAGCGATTTTTTCTCTCTCTAGTGCAACTTTTAAAGAGAAAGGGATGGTGTAATGTGCCGTTTCCTTTGTTTGTTGAAAGCTTGGCTGCAGGACTGTAATCTAGACTGGTTTGATGTCAGAGTGGATGCAGCCTGTTGAATTTTGGACACTGCTGGATGCTGAGTCTTCAAACTGATCCAACAACAAGCTCCCGTGGGCAAACATTCACTGGCTGGAGCCTTTCTCAGGTTTTCACATGTTGTGCTTCTTCACAGCCTCAGAAGTGAATGCGTGTAAGAAATCTAGTATTTTATGCACACATTTCAAAGAATGTGTTTAAGACTGCTATCCCAAGGACATCTCAGCACTGCT